GGGCAGCTCGGGCCCTGATCAGCTTCATCCTTGCCCCCCCCCCGCCGCTTCCCTCACTGCCCCGCCCCCGAGAGCACTCACCCAATTAACCATCTCTCAGGGATGGCCGTGTCAGGCTCTGCTTCTAGGACCCTAACCTGAGGCTCAGGCCTGCCCTACGAGAACCCTGAGGGCCCCTGTCTCCAGGCGCGTGTGGCTATGGGGCAAGGATGAAGCTGATCAGGGCCCGAGCTGCCCTGGGGTGCAGGGATCAGAGCAGACAGGAGGGGCGGGGGCGCCTGGGAGCCTGAGCTGGGGACTCCGGTCTGGGCAGAGGAGGGAGGCCAGGGTAGGGGCTGCTCAGCCAGTCTCCTGCCCTCCCTCAGTCCCCACCCTGAGCCTGGCCTCTGGGAGACACATAGTCCTGTCTTCTCCATGTGGCAACTGAGAACACATAGTTCTTCTCTAGGCCTCTGTGTCCCAGGGAACCGAGAGCCTCCGCCAGACTCTAGCTCCCAGTCTCCTGCAGACACCCAGTCCCTGCCTGGCGGGGGTGGGCATTGGCAGAAGCCAGACCCTCGGCAGGAAAGAACCTGGGGGAGATTGAGCACGGGGTCTTCCCGCGGCGTGGAGAAAGGGCTTTGACTGGGTTGGAATGGCTGGAACAGCTGGCCTGACCCACACAGCTGGCGGCTGAATTGTGAATCTGGGGAAGCAGCCTTCCTGCAACCTTCCTTCCCCTTTCCCCCTAGGAGGAAGGGGTCTGTCTCATAATTTCCCTCCATCCTGCTGACTCTGCTGTTACCTGGGTGGATGGGCAGGTGGGGCAGCTTCGAACACAAAGGCAGGAGGACAATGCGGGCGTTTCAGGCACTGTCTTGTCATTGGCCAAGTTGGGGACTTCTCGGGGCTCTTCATATCACATCGGTAGACCCGGCCCTGGTCTCAAAGAAGAGGAAAGGCCTCTGACACTCGGGCCATTCTGACCTCCTCCTCCACGCCCCTGTACACACGGCTGCCCGCCTGAACATCAGGACACCCTCCGGGCACTTGGAGAAGGGAAATCTGGAAGAGGTTCAGAGAGAGACTAGTGCCCAGATGAAGGGCTGAGGAGGAAGTGCTGGGTGTGTTGCTCACCCACTGATGTTCCCATGTTGGAGAGGCCTGCGTCAGCACTCCTGGGCCAGTGCAGCTGGTCCCTTATGTGCTGCAGCCGCCACTTCCCGTGCTCAGCCTGTGGGAGGCCACCGGCACCAGCGACACCCTGGCCGCAGCAGGTGGAAGGAAGGTGGTGGCCCTGTGGCCCCAGCGCCTGGCCCTGGGGGCTGTGGCCATTGTGCTTCTAGCGTGTTTACCCTAAACCTTCCTTCCTTTCACCGCCAGGAGCCAAGAAAGCCTCAGCTCTGTGAGCTCCAGGGAGGGGGCTGGGCACGTTTAAACAGGGAGTGACTGTGGGGTTTGTGAAAGCCTCACAGCCACGGGCACGCGTGATCAATGCGAGGGGGGAAGTGATGCAGCCTCTCTGGGGACAGCTTAGCCGTGTGAGTCTCCAGCCCTAAAGATGTACGTACCTTGTGACTCAGCAATCCATTTCTGCGAGTCCATCCTAAGGAAACAGTTGTAAGTTCATACAAGGTGTGTGTATAAGGACGCTTATCTCAGCCTGGTTTAGAACTGATATTGGGCAATGGGAGACTGGTACGTGTACACTACGGAGAACTTGGCAGCCATTTACACAGTGATGGAATTATCAATAAAGCTGCCATGAACATTCTGGTACATGTCTTTTGGCAGGCATAAGCACGCCCTTCTCTTGGGTATGTACCCAAGATGGAATTTCTGGGTTAGAGGATCGATGTATGTGAAACTTGATGCTGCTAAACAGTGACTGTTCCAACCAACCCTCCCCACCACTTGGTGGCGCTCCACTTGGCCCCCATCTTTACCAACACTCAGTATCATCGGCCTGTTTCATGTTGGCTTTTCTAGGAAATGTGTAAAGGTGTTGCCTTGGGGTTTCCATCTGCGTTTCTAAACATATGTCAACAGAAAAATGGATAAACATATTGTGGCATATTTATAAGCTGAGAATTTACACAGCGATGAAAAAGAATGAACTACTTATTCATGTAACTACACGGATGAACCTCAAAAGACAGAGCATTGAGTGAAAGAAGCCAAACACAGAAGAGTATATATATATATATATATATTGTGTGAATCCATTTAGATGCAAATCCCAAACAGGCAAAACTATCTAAAATGTTAGAGGTCAGAATAGGTGCCTATGGGGCTGGGGAGGTATCGACTAGGAAAGAGTTGAGGGAACCTTCTGGAGTGTTAGAAATGTTCTATACCTTGATCTGTGTCATGGTTAAATGAGTGATACATATGTAAAATCTTGTCAAACCGAATAACTTTGCATTTCACTGTAACGAACGTATACTTATATTGAAATTTAAAAAAATATTTTACCAAAAAAGAAAGAAAAGAATGCAAATCTATGTTGATTAATCTGGAATTATGGTTAAAATATATTAAATATAAAAAGCAGGTTGCAAAATTCTGTGGACCTTTGGGGCTTCACTCATAAACTCTTCCTTGGTGAAAGTCTAGTGGATCTCATTTTAAGTGAACATAAAACGTGGGGGTTATACTGAATAATAGTTTTTGAAAACGATTCAAAGTGCATAGGAAGCATTGTATAGACATAAGAAATAACTCAATTATTTTTTTTTTTGGCCGCACCTTGAGGCATGTGGAACTTCCCCAACCAGATCAGGGATTGAACCCGCGCCCCCTGCAGTGGAAGCGCAGAGTCTTAACCACTGGACCATCAGGGAAGCCCAACTCAATTTTACATGGATGAGGAAACCAAATTTTATAGCTCTCAGTACCACATTTTGAAGGACTGAAAATATATCCTGTGTCTAGTGGGCCATGATAAAGCAGGAATATCTGTAAATTATATACAATGGAAACAGATAAAGAAATTTGGAGTATTTTTTTCCTTCTCTTTCTTCCTCTTTCTCTTTCTTCCTCCTCCTTCTCTTCCTCATCCTCCTTCTGCCAGTTCTAGCAGGGAAACCTGGCTGCGCGCGGGCTGTCTCTAGTTGCGGCGAGCGGGGGCTACTCTTCGTTGCAGTGCTTGGGCTTCTCATTGCTGTGGCTTCTCTTGTTGCAGAGCACAGGCTCTAGGCACACGGGTTTCAGTAGTTGCAGCACGAGGGCTCAGTTGTTTCGGTACGTGGGCCCTAGAGCACATGGGCTTCAGTAATTGCAGCACGTGGGCTCAGTAGTTGCAGCGTACAGGCTGTATGGCACGCGGGCTTCAGTAGTGGCTCACGAGCTCTAGAGCGCAGGCTCAGTAGTTGTGGCACACGGGCTTAGTTGCTCTGCGGCATGTGGGATCTTCCCGGACCAGGGCTCGAACCCATGTCCCCTGCATTGGCAGGCAGATTCTTAATCACGGCGCCACCAGGGAAGTCCCCAGCAGGGAAACCTCTTGTTCTCTCTTCTGTGGATGAGAATCTTGGCAGCATGAAGAAGGGTGTGACTTAAACTCAGGCTGGGGTCTTGGTCCTGATGCTGCCACTTCCTGGAAGGGTGACCTTGGGATGATCACTTGTCCTCTCTGAGTCTCAGTTTCATCACCTGTAAAATGGGGATAATAATGCACACCATGCTGGGTGGCTGGCAGGATCAAGGGAGCAAACGATTGAAGACATGTTAATAAATTGCCAAAGAATCCCGACACCTCTAAAGTAGGATTGTCGTCACCGGGGTGGAGGAGGCATAGAACAGACTCTCATGTCAGGTGGTCCTGGCTTCATGTCCCAAGTACATCACTTACTGTGCGGCCTCAGGCATGGGGTTTAAACTTTATGAGCCTTGGTGAGTTGGTCTTTAAAACACTGAGGAAGACAGTGTCTCTAACACAGAGTTGTTCTGATGATACAGGAGATCATGTTTGTAAAATAAGTAGTATAGGGAGAGCCTGGATAGAGGAAATACTCAGAAAACAAAGCAACAGCAAACAGATGTTCACAAGCTGCTCCTGGATCATCGTTATCCTGTTATCATTTCCCGCACTACAGCATCGAGTCCCCCAGGGTAGAAACATGGAGCCAACTGGACCCTCCCTGAGGGTGGGAGCTCATCTCTCCCCTCTGGTGTGGGAATGGTGGCCACCCTTACCACTCTGCTGCCTCCACACTGGTCCTGGCTCTGCAATGATTCCACCTGTGTAGCCGAGTCTCATCCAGATGTGGCTGGGTCCTGACAGAGAGGACAGTGCCCATCAAGTAATTCACTGAGGTCGAGGCCCCTATAGGGCCAAGCATACCAGAAGGGTCTCTGGAACCTAAGCACGAGCCTGAACCACAGTCAGGGCCCCAGGGAGACTGGTCCAGGAGAGGGGGCCTGGAGTGGTCCCACCATCCCTGACCTGCTCATGGGAAGACTGGTCTAGGAGAGGGGTGATCTGCAGTGGTCCCACCATCCCTGACTTGTCCACAAGGAACGCAACAGGGAGTGGTGAGAAGGGGGCACCCCAGGTAAGAAGCCATGCACAGAAGGGGCTTGCAAAGGAAGAGACCCAGCAGCCTGGAAGCCTCCCTCAGGACCCCTCCCCCAAAGCACATCTCCAGGCCAGCCCCCAACAGGAAGTTCAGTCTACTACCTACTGTGTGCCCAGCACTGCGGCATTTAGGGTAGAGCAGTGGACAAAACAGCTGCTGTCCTCACCTCAGGAAATAGCCCTGGATGGGACAGACAAGTCCCTGGAAATACAAGAGAGCCGTTCACTAATCGGTATAAGGAATCACCCACGAGGATGCCAGCGTTACTGTACCAGGTGCACACCTAAGCCCTTTCCCGTATTATCTCACCGCATCATTGTCACAGAGTCTGGTTCTCAGACGGAGGCGTGCCTGCTGAGGGCGCTGAAGGGGGGCTCACCCGGGATGGGCTTGTGAGCGTGGAGGTGAAGAAGGCTTGCCATAGGATGTGGCCTCTTAACCCAGTGGAGGGAGGGCCTGGTCTCTCCTTTCTCTAAGAAGATTTCTAGGGGCAACCTAGGATGTGCTCCATATTCCCAGACTTGACAGAGGGTTTCCCTTTCTAAGTTCTCACCCCGCACTGCCCCCTCGTCTCACCCTGCCCCCTCCCCCTTTTTCAAAATTTCCAAGCTGAAAAGACATCAGAGCTGCCCTTTGCACAGAGACCAGGAAGCTGAGAAGTCAAGGGACTGATCCGAGGTCGCCCAGCTGGTCCTGGCTGAGCCTGGAGACCCAGACCTCCTGGGTCCCAATCCAACATTTTTCCACCATGTACTTCATGGGGCTGCTGGTGAGGCTAACTAGTCTGAGCTCCAGGCTTTGGGCTCTGGGGTACAGAGACGATAAAGACAGTCCTCAAAGTCCTGGTTTGAGCTGGGCTGGAAGCAATAGGATCTGAGGATTTTCCCACTGGTAGAGGCAGAGTTTTTCCTCTTCTGTCTTTGGTTGCTCTGTTTTCTTCCTTCATCATCAGAAACCATTTTAGCCTCTCTCAGTGTTGGTTTTGCCCAAACTCCTGGGGGAGATGTCTGTGCCCTGTGTGGTTTGTAACTGGGTGAGGGTATCTGTGTGGGTGTGTGATGAGCACGTGTGATGGCACATCTACCTCTGTCAACATCTGACTGTCTGGGTGTGATGTGACTCAAATGCTGAGGCTCACACTCTCACCCTGCCACTCTCGAAGCAGCTGTATCCTGCCCCCAGGGAAAGAATGTCCCTGGCAGCCGCAAGGCCCACCCCAGGCTGGAATAGCAGCACAGGTGGGGCACCGTGTCCAGCTGGCCCTGTGACAGGGCCGCCCAGGAGGAGAAGCTGCCCCTCCAGTGTCCCCCGTTAGTGCTTCCTGATGCAGCTGTTGCCCAGAGGGACTGACTGCCCCGAAAGAAAGTGCCTGGAGGCCAGGCAACCAGTCCACAGGAGCCCTCCTGTGTCCAGCCTGGAGGAGTCCAGTGGAGTGCGGTTGGCCAGGAACCCCTGGAGGGCAGGGCCCCGTAACGTATGCATCAGCAGATATGTCCCAGCACCTGCAATGTGCCAGGAGCGGGGGCCTGGCCAGGGAGCTTTCAGTGAGGACAAGTAGAAGTTCCCACACTAGTCCTGAGGTGCCTGGCCGTTGTCTCTGGAGGGAGGGGATTGCCCCTCGGAGAGGAGTACTGTAGTTACTGCAAGTCCAAAGTCACTGCATCGAGGGGATGCAACCCAGACACCACTCATTCACTCTCGTGACAACAGCAGGCAACCTGATCAGGGTTGTGAGAAAAGCCCAGAAACACAGTTTTGGTGATTTTGAGGGAGGCCCGTATGTGCTTTGGGGAAGGCAGGGTGACATCTGTGATGGGTGTTAAAGGGTGGGTGGGAAGCTGGGGAAGGTGGAAAGGGCAGAGGCACCGCAGTGGCAAAGCTGTGGCACTCAGAAGGGGCACTTCCGGCTTAGCAGAGGGACCAAACTTGGTGCTAAGAGGCCAATAGGTACCAGTGTATGGACAAACTTCTCCTTGTGAGGGGCGGCAATTCTGGGGAGAAACACTTGGTGAGAACTGGTGGGGTCGGAAAGGCTTCGGGGAAGAGGGAAGAGCACTGCAGGGGGGTGACCTCCATGAACCCTGAAAGGCTCCCTACTCCCTGCCTTGATCTTAAAGGTCAGAGGCCCAGGGATGGAGGGCCAGGGGCACTGTGTCCAAGAGCAGGGACCCTCAGCTTGTCCCAGTGAGGGGTGGGCAGGGCTTAGAGCAGGGAAACAGGGGCTCAGTGTGTCTAAGGAGACCCAGCCTGGCCTCACCTCCCTCTGGCCCCTCTCCTTCAGCCCTCAGCAAGGTCCCTGCCCCGCACCAGCCACATCTGTGGAGCGCAGAGCTGAGCAGATTGAATGGTGCTGTGTGACCTCACACAAGGCACTCTGCCTCTTTGGGCCTCAGTTTCCTCACCCCTAAACCCAGGGCGCTGGGCTCTGTGGGATCTCAAATAGTTCCCATGTCACCTGCCAGCCCTGACTAACTGATAAGGCTGGGTGGAGGATTGTGATGTCAGGTCCAGGCTGGGAGGGACAGATGCTGTGATCTATTAGTGATGTCTGCTGTGGCCTCCTGAGAGGGGGGTGGTACACATGCCTTCTTCCTCTGGTCTTCATAACGCCCTACGTTCTAACGGTGGGCAGAGGGGCAGGGGGTGGACCAACCTTCTATGAAGAGAGGTTCTCCCAGTCCTTGTGACAAATCTTCTGTGTATTCCCCAGGGCCAAACACCTAGATGGAACGCAGGTGTCTCCAAGCACCCACCACTTAGCCTTGTCTAAACAAAGGCATAGGCACAGTTTCACGCAGAAGAAAAGGGAGGGTGAACGCTCCCACATCTGAGTTCTTGGTCTATTTGTTTTCCTGGCATTTTGAAAAATGTATGCCCAGCTGCATTTATTTATAGCTAATAAGAAGGAAAATTTTGTTGTTGTTGTTGCTTTGTTTGTTTTTTGCTGAAACAGAAAAAAATCCATAAAAATTGTCAAGAAAGAAAAGGACAGGCCAAAGGAAGTTGATGAGTCATATAATTGGGTTTAAACGGAAACTAAAATCTTGAGAGCTTTAATCAGAAAATAGGATGTGTTTGGGAAATGCATGTGTATCTGTGTGTGTTTGGGAATGTTGTGTATGTTTGTGAATATGTTGTATGTATATAATACATGTTAACGCACGAGGCATATTCGTGTAGTGGAGGTGTGGCATGAGCGTGTGTGTGTGTATTCGGTGTGTCCTGTACGGCAGTTGTGACTGTAGAGCATAGTTTGTGTTCTGTGTCAGTGGTGTGCGGGGTGTGTGAAGCGTGCCTGTTGTATATAGTGGACATCAGAATAAGTAGGTGTGGTGAGTGTGCAGGACATGTGTGCATCACATATGTTTGCGTGACCCACAACGTGTTCGTTCTGGGTAGATCCATGGCGTCCTTGCCCTGTGACTCACTGGCCTCGAGCAGGGCCTGGTGATGACGTGAAGTATCAACAGAGCTTGAGAACAAAAAGGCCCTGAGTCTTTTACGGGGCTTGCTCTTCCAAGAAGAAATCAGGAATTTCTGGGGTCTGCTTTCCATACCCTGTGAAGTTCAGGCAAGCAGAAAGAGACTGGATCCAGTGGAAACCCAGCTGCTAGCTCGTGAAGGCTGATTAAAAATCTTGCAGCTTGGCGTTTCCAAGAAAAATTGCTCATCAAACTTTTCAGAAATTTTCCTCACTTTGGCAAAGGCGGAAAAGGTTCCCGATGGCTTTCTACTGGAAAGTCGAGCAATTTCCATGATGGATTTGGGGCACATGTTTTTAAAAAGTGACCACGTGGTAGGGAAGAAGGTTGCCAGACAGCTGGAGCTCCCAGCACAAGTGTTCACAGTAAGAATTGTTCCCCCCAGCGTAGAGGAGGCCACAAAATGTGGTAAATCAATCTCTTTTAGCTGCCCTCAGGCAAGATGTCCGGAGGATTTCATTCTCCCAGGCCAGGGGGCAGAAGGTGGAGTGAAGGCTGCTGTGTTGTGCACACTTGCAGAACTCGTGGCACCTTCTTGGGCCTCTGATTTGTCAAAAAGCCTTGTCCATCGGAGCCCTTCCTGCTACTCAGGACTGTGATGTGAGCCCAGAAGCCACAGTTGTGAATATTTTTGCCAAGTCGAAGGGACAGTCCCGAGGGGCAAAGTTGTTCCTGGCACGGCGCCTGCCACTTAGTAGGTGTCCAGTAAATAGCCGTTGAATGAATGAATAGCCCAGGAAGGACCATCCAAGAGAAACAGCCTGGTTTCCACCCACCGCCAAGCAGAGCTTCCAGGGCAAGGCTGGGGCGGACGTGTCTGCCTGTCCAGCTGTTGGCTTTCCGCTCCCCTTTTCCTGTCCCTCTCCCCATAACCTCGGCTGGTTCCCACGCCCTCGCTCAGGGACTTCTGCTGTCATTGTTCCACTGTTATCAGGACCCAGGCCTCTGCCAGCCTAGACCCTTCACTGGACCAGGAAAAGGAGAGGGAGAAAGATTATGGGGAATTATCAGGGACTGATGAAGAAAGGAATCAGGTGTCAAATGCAGCTATTAGCTCAGCCTCAGGTGAGGAAACCAAGGTTTAGCGAGGAATAGGGAAACATTCCCAAGGTTAGGTGGAAAGGTGGTAGACCAATAATGATCATTGTAATTATGGCAATAGTAGTATCTACCACATAGGATGGGATATATGGTGAGATAATATTTTTAAAAATATTAGCCAGTCTTTTCCCCCAATATTTTCCTGCACTGCCTAGCTTCGCCCACTTCCTGTAGCTAGTTTGAGGTACGCATAGAGAATGTGAGTGCTCGCATAGCCCCTGGGATAACTGGAGGGGACCTAGGGAGGCTGCTGGGGGCTGGAAGCGTCAGTCCCAGGATGCTAGGTGGGAAGCGGGAGCTTGACCACTCCAGCGTTTGTTGGCTCAGAGAATAGGCTAGAATTCTTGGATTTTGAGTTTCAAAAGCCAGACTGTAGAACTTCCAAAATAAAAAGAATAATCATTGAAATTTCAAACTCGGTGGGAGAAACAGAGCTAGAAAAGGAGATCTGAGAATTCACCCAAAATACAGCACAAAGAAGTAAATAAGTGGAAAATAGGGAAGAGTGAGAGGTGTGAAGAATAGAATGAGACGGTCCAACCTATGTCACGCAGAATTTCAGAAAGAGAGGTTGGAAAGAACGAGAGGCAATCTTCAGAGAGACAATGGCTAAGAAATCTCTAGAATTGAAGACACGTAAGTTTTCGCGTAGCAGAATCATGCCAGGTTCTGGGCCATCATGGTGCAATTCCAGACCTCAAAGAGAAAGCTTCTGGATCCCCTTGCTCCTAAAATCTCTCTCTTCTGACCACCTCAGCCCTAACCACAGGACCTTGGCTTGTGCCCTGGACTTTAGACTGCTTCCATTCGCCATTCTTTGGTGAGCAAATTTTGCCTCCTTTGTGAAACTGGGAGCTTCCTGAGGGTAAGAGCCCTTCTCCCTGCCCCTGGTACTGGGGAAGGATGACAAGATACCTGGTCAGAGATCTGGTTAGAGTGCTGGGCAGGTAGCTCAATGCCTCATGTCCCATTTTCTCCACTTCTAAAATGGAATTAGAAATACCTGGTCAGGGCACTCTGAGGTTATACACTAGACACCCTGTTCCAGTTCTGTTTAATCCATTGCTTTTTAAATTTCACTGACTATTTTTATTTCTAGATTCCCTCCCCTCTCCCCCGGACCAATTTTGCCTATTTCTTTCTCTTTCTTCATATATTCATGAAGAACCATAAAACAGATTTCGAACTTATTTTTAGCAGCAGAGCCCATTCATCAGATAAAAGTGTATTGTTGGAAAATCAATTCAAGCAGAATACAGGACCTGCCGGTTGAATTGGGTTGGGATGGAGACCCAGAGTCCAGCTGGCTCATTTCCCCCTTTTGCCTTAGATCACCCTTGGGGCACCTTGGCTGGAACAAAGTTAGAAAACCAACCCCATCAGAAGCTTTAATGGAGCTTTCCCCAGAATGTACTTCTGGGAACCCTGCTTCATGGTGTTTCATGAAAAAACGTGTTCCATGGTCAAATAAGCTGGAGAAACACTGAATTAACCAAAGTTAATTGGATCTCTTCAGGATTTTTTTGAGACTTCAGTATTCACATCGTGCAGTAGGAGTCTTTGAGAGGGTAGCTGATGTGCCGAGTGCTATAAACCTACCTGCTTTATCAAGGATTACTCCTATAAGCAGAACACACTAGGGAAATGCTATGCTGGAGAATAAGAACAACAATAATAATAATTTTTCCTTTGTCTCCCCATTAAGATCTAGTATAGGGCTAGACACTGAAATGGGAGGGGAGGCAAAAAGTACTCTGGATCGAATATAAGCTTTGATTTCCCCCAATCCCAGAATCTAAAAAGGCCTGTGGGAAGCCCAGTGATTTCCAGGCTTTCTTTTTTTCCTGCCTCTGTTCTGCAGCCACAAACACAGCCCAGCAGGCATGCACATGGAGAGCTGAGGTTCCATTGGTCAGGTCTTCTGACACCTCTGGCTGGGGCCCAGTCTCTGTCTCAGGGCTGAAACGGCTCTTTGGCCCAGGCAAGAGGCCTCAGTGCTCCAGCCTGGCCCGTGAGAGCTCTGGGAACCCTGGTTCCCACTTGCGCATCCGTTTCCCGGCAGCCCGAGAGGCTATCCCGGCTTCTCTTTCCTCTTCTAACTGGAGGAAAGAATTTCTGGAAATGCGGCTGGGCCAGTGACAATGAGGCAGGATGCCCTTGCTTCCTGCCCTGACCAGGCCAACCCCGCCAGCAGAACCCAGCACCTCTCGGGGGCTGGGGCCCACAGAGGTAACCCTCTCCAGCCTGTCGGTGCCTCTGCAGAGGCAGGGGAGGGCTAGCTGAGCCCAACCCCTCCCTGGCTGCCCTCCCCCAACTCAGGCTCCGAGAACAGGACAGGCCCTTGCAGCAAGGCCGGAAAAGAGAGGCAGGTGCTCTGGAGCCTCTCCCAAGAGGCCAAACCCCATAGTGGGTCTGCAAGGTCTCCTACCCACAGTCTTTCTCTCTTTCCTTCATACCTTGAACAGACACTGAGGGGGGGAGTGGCTGCCTCTACCCCAGGTGCTGAGATGCAACCGTGAACAAGGCTGGGGGTCCAGAGTAGAGAGGGGTGGTCCAACAGGCAGCTCGAGAATGTTAATATAATGTTTTAGGGCTTTGACAGACATGCGCACGGCAGAAGCATTTAGTCCAGGCTGGATGAAGAATGTCTTCCGGGGCTGGGGGGGCTTTGGGGGGGGTACGGTTTGTTAAGCAGCTTCCCTGGCTTCATGGCTAAGGACACGCGAACTGAGTGAGACCCAGTCCTTGCTTTCAAGGAATTTCCTCTCTGGGTCACTCTGCCTCTCCCTGTCTTTCCCTCATTTTTCTGGTTCCCCTGGCTGGCTCTGTCCCGTCTTTCTCTCTGTCTTTAACCCCACATCTTCCTGACTCCCTGCCATGCCCTAGGACTTGTATTCCCAGGAAAGGTAAATAAATACTAGAAAATCAGCAGCCCCCCTTCCCACAGCTCCCTGGCTTGGTGTCCCACCCCCGGGGTCTGGAAAATCTTCCCCATTGATACACCCCTTGGGTCCCCTAGCTTACTTTGTTTCTCTCCTCGGTGACTCTGTTACTATGGCTACAGCCACATCAGCCAGCCATCCTTCCTGTGGGGAGAAACTGGGCAGGAAGTTTTGTACTTTAAAAAGTTGTTATTGGGGCTTCCCTGGTGGAGCAGGGGTTAAGAATCTGCCTGCCAATGCAGTGGACACGTTTTCGAGCCCTGGTCCAGGAAGATCCCACACGCTGCGGAGCAACTAAGCCCGTGCGCCACAGCTACTGAGCCTGCGCTCTAGAGCCCGTGAGTCACAACTACTGAAGCCCGTGCGCCTAGAGCCCATGCTCTGCAACAAGAGAGGCCACCGCAATGAGAAGCCCACGTGCCACAACGAGGAGTAGCCCCCTGTCTCCCCAACTAGAGAAAGCCCGCGCGCAGCAATGAAGACCCAATGCAGACAAAAAAAAAAAAAAAAAGTTGTTATTGTCTGAGGGGAAGTAACAAAAAAAAAGTTTTTTTTGGTTTGTTTTTTATAAACTTATTTATTTATTTATTTATTTTTGGCTGTGTTGGGTCTTCATTGCTGCGCGCGAGCTTTCTCTAGTTGCAGCCCGTGGAGGCTACTCTTTGTTGCGGTGCACGGGCTTCTCATTGCGGTGGTTTCT